ATTAGCTGAGTGTGGTGGCCGGCGCCTGTAATCCCAGCTAGTTGGGAGGCTGAGGCAGGAGAATCTCTTGAACCCAGGAGGCAGAGGTTGCGGTGAGCCGAGAACGTGCCATTGCACTCCAGCCTGGGCAACAAGAGTGAAACTCCACCTCCAAAAAAATAAATAAATAAATAATAAAAATAAATTTTTTTTAAAAGTTCACAAGAGACAAAGAAGGACATTATGTATCAAAAAAAAAGTTCAATATAGCAAGAATATGTCATAATTATAAATATGTATGTACCTAATGTCTGATCATCAAAATATATGAAGCAGGCCAGGCATGGTAGCTTGCACCTGTAATCCCAGCATTTTGAGAGGCTCAGGCAGGCAGATCACCTGAGGTCAGCAGTTTGAGACCACGCTGGCCAACATGGCGAAACCCCATCTCCACAGAAAATACAAAAATTAGCCAGGCATGGTGGCGGATGCCTATAATCCCAGGTACCAGGAGGTGGAGGTTGCAGTGAGTCGAGATCATGCCACTGCACTCCAGCCTGGGCAACAGAGTGAGACCCCCTCTCAAAAAAAAAAAAAAATATATATATATATACACACACACACACACACACACACACACGCATATATATTTATATTTGTATATAAGAAGCAAAAGCCAACACAATGGACTGAAGGGAGACATAGACAGTTTCACAATAATAGTTAGAGACAATACCCCCCCTCATATGGACAGAATAACCAGGCAGAAGATAAGAAGATAAGTAAAGAAATAAAGGACTTGCTGGGCATGGTGGCTCACACCTGTAATCCCAGCACTTTGGGAAGCCAAGTCGAGTAGATCACTTGAGCTTAGGAATTCAAGACCACCCTGGGCAACACGGTAAAACCCTGTCTCTACAAAAAATACAAAAATTAGCCAGGCTCAGTGGTGTATGCCTGTAATCCCAGCTACTTGGAAGGCTGAGACAAGAGAATCGCTTGAGCCCGGGAGGCAGAGGTTGCAGTGAGCTGAGATTGTGCCGTTGCACTCCAGCCTGGGTGACAGGAGTAAAACCCTAAGAAAATAAACGAAAGGAGAAGAAAAGAAAAGGACTTAACACAATCAACCAACTAGATCTAACAGACATACAGTAACACTCTACCCAATAATAGCATATACATTCTTCTCAACTGTATATGGGATATTTTCAAGGGTAGACCATATGTTAGGCCACAGATTAATTCTCAATAGATTTTTTAAAATCACACTGTACAAAGTATCTTCTCTGACCACAGTGGGATAAGGTTAGAAATCAATAACAGAAGTAAAAGTGGAAAATTCACAAAATGGTGGAATTAAACAATATACTATTTAAAAAAAAAATACACTCTTTTTTTTTTTTTTTTTTGAGACGGAGTCTCTGTCGTACAGGCTGGAGTGCAGTGGCAGGATCTCCACTCACTGCAAGCTCCGCCTCCCGGGTTCACGCCATTCTCCTGCCTCAGCATCCCCAGTAGCCGGGACTACAGGCGCCGCCACCACGCCTGGCTAAGTTTTGTATTTGTAGTAGAGACGGGGTTTCACCATGTTAGCCAGGGTGGTCTCGATCTCCCGACCTCGTGATCCGCCCATCTCGGCCTCCCAAAGTGCTGGGATTACAGGCGTGAGCCACTGCACCTGGCCAACAATACACTCTTTTTTTTTTTTTTTTTTTGAGACGGAGTCTTGCTCTTTAGCCCGGGCTGGACTGCAGTGGCCGGATCTCAGCTCACTGCAAGCTCCGCCTCCCGGGTTTACGCCATTCTCCTGCCTCAGCCTCCGGAGTAGCTGGGACTACAGGCGCCCGCCACCTCGCCCGGCTAGTTTTTTTGTATTTTTAGTAGAGACGGGGTTTCACCGAGTTAGCCAGGATGGTCTCGATCTCCTGACCTCGTGATCCGCCCGTCTCGGCCTCCCAAAGTGCTGGGATTACAGGCTTGAGCCACCGCGCCTGGCTAACAATACACTCTTAAACAGTCAATCGATCAAAAAAGAAATCACAAAGAAAATTAGGAAATACTTAGAAACAAATGGAAGCAAAAACACAACATACCAAACTTAGGAGATACAGCAAAAGCAGTGCTAAGGGGGAAATTTACAGCTATAAATGCTCAAATAAATAAATAAGATCTCAAATCAATAACCTACCTAACTTTACAACTTAAGGAAATACAGAAAGAAGACCAAACTAAAGCCAAAGCTAGCAGAAGGAAAGAAATAATAAAGATTAGGGCAGAGATAGACAAAATAGAGAATACAAAAACGTAGAGAAAAAAATGAAACTAAAAGTTGATTTTTTGGAAGGATCAACAAAATTGACAAACTTTTAGCTAGATGGACTAAGAAAAAAAAAGAGAGAGAAGGCTAAAATTACCAAGACCAGAAACAAAAGTGGGAACATTACTACTGATTCTATAGAAACAAAAAAATATTGGCCGGGCACGGTGGCTCACGCTTGTAATCCCAGCACTTTGGGAGGCCAAGGCGGGTGGATCACCAGGTCAGGAGATCGAGACCACCCTGGCTAACATGGTGAAATCCTGTCTCTACTAAAAATACAAAAAATTAGCCAGGCGTGGTGGCAGGTGCCTGTAGTCTCAGCTACTCGGGAGGCTGAGGCAGGAGAATGGCGTGAACCCGGGAGGTGGAGCTTGCAGTAAGCCAAGATCGTGCCACTGCACTCCAGCCTGGGCGACAGAGTGAGACTCCATCTCAAAAATAAATAAATAAATAATATAAAAAAAAAAGAAATAAAAAATATCATAAGAGAGTACTCTGAACAATTAGATGCCAACAAATTGAGTGACCTAGATGAAGTGGACAAATTCCTAGAAACACAAAACTTAACAAGACTAAATCATGAAGAAATAGAAAATCTGAATAGACATATAACTAGCAAGGAGATTAAATGAGTAATCAAAAATCTCCAAAGACTGGGCATGGTGGCTCACACCTATAATCTCAACACTTTGGGAAACCAAGGTGGGAGGATCACCTGAGCCTAGGAGTTCAAGAGCAGCCTGGACAACATAGTGAGAACCCATCTCTTCAAAAAATTAAAAATTTAGCCACGCATGGTGGCACATACCTATAGTCCCAGCTACTCAGGAGGCTGAGGCAAGAGAATCGCTTGAACCCGGGAGGCGGAGGTTGCCATGAGTCAAGATCACCCCCTGCACTCCAGCCTGGGCAACAGAGCGAGACTCCATCTCAAAAAGAAAAAAAAAAAAAAGAAATGCATGAATGAGTGAACTCCTGGCATCTTTCAGGAGCTCTATGGTGACTGTCTTCTGTAAGCTTGGGTTGACACTGGAGAAAACAGCCAGGGAACTGGTTGCCCTACTATCAACTGGGATGTGGGATTCTGGATAAGAAGAGGTCAGTAGGGTGTTGCTGACCCAGTGAGTATGATCAGAGACACATCAGGCTCTGCCAGCCAGACAGCAGCTGCCACTGTCTCTCCCAGTCTCCAGATGTAAGTGAAATTCAGATTCACAACTGCCAAAGTGAAGAGGAGGCTGGAAGCTCTCCCAACACAAAGCATGCCAACCACTCCCACCAGTTACGCTCCTACTCTGTCCCCGAAGGAGTCTGTGGCCATTTGCCAGGGTTAAGTGTCACCGACATAGAGGGGCACAGAGAGGCTTTTCGAGGACGGGAACATGGTGTGTAGCCGGACACTGACATTGACGCCAGGACTTTGATAGGATCACCACGCCCCTCTGTTTATGGAAGTCATGGAAGGCACTGTGGCCCAAGTCCATCCCTAATGGGTCCAGTGGGTCTGCAGATCTGCCCTGTTTATTGGGATACACATTCTTAGCTGCCAGCTGAACGCTCACATTGGCTCCTTGGCCAGAGGAGTAAGGGTGGTTACGGTAGGAAGAACCAAGTGAGAGCCTGTGGAACTTCTTCCCTCCAGCAAGACAGTGAGCCTGACAGAAGAAGTGCTTTGCTTGAGGAATTGCAGAGGTTAACACCAACATCGGAGACCAGGGAAGCAGGTGTGGTGGTTCCTATCTCTTCCTATTAGGTTCACCTGCCCGGCCTTTGTGACAACAAATTAATAACGACCGTGGGTGACAGACTGCAGCAAACCCGAAGAGGCAGCAGGGCCTGTGAGAGCTGCCATGCCGCGAGTGGTCTTTTTGCCACAGCAGATCAACATAGCCTCTGCAGCTGGTGTGTGACTAGCATCTTGGCAAAGTCTTTCTTCTCCATATCCTCACTTGGGAGGGTCAGAAGCAGTTCATCTTCACCAGCAGACAGCAGCACTCCTTCCCTGCCTCGTCTCAGGGCTGTGGCTGCTCCTGGGCTTTCTGGTGGGCGGAATAATGTCTCCCAAAGATGTCCACCTCCTGCCCCCTGGAACTTGTGAATACTTGAGGTGATGCAGCAAAAATGGAATGGAGATTGCAGATGAATTAAGGTTGCTCATCGGCTGACCTTAGGCCAGGAAGACCATCCCAGATTACCCGGGGAGATCCAATGCAATCACGAGGGTCTGTAAAATTGGAAGAGGAGCCAGACCTGATGGTTCAAGCCTGCAATCCCAGCTACTTTGGAGGCCAAGGCAGGAGGATGGCTCGGGCCTAGGATTTCGAGACCAGCCTGGGCAACATAGCAAGATGCTGTCTCAAAAAAACAAAGAAAAGAAAAAAAAAAAAAAAGATAGAGAGAAAAGCTGGCTAATAGAAGCAGATGAATGGCTGGCCCAGATGTTAAATTTAGCAGAAAAGAGCTTTAAATAGGTATTGTAAGTATATTAAGGAAAATATGAATGAAATGGATGCAAATATGGATAATTTTCAAAAAGGAACTAAGATGTATTAAAAGCAAATCCAGCGGCTGGGAGCAGTGGCTTACGCCTGTAATCCCAGCACTTTGGGAGGCCGAGGCGGGCAGATCACAAGGTTAAGAGATCGAGACCATCCTGGCCAACATGGTGAAACCCTGTCTCTAAAAACACAAAAATTAGCCGGGTGTGGTGGCACACACCTGTAGTTCCAGCTTCTCAGGAGGCTGAGGCAGAATTGCCTGAACCTGGGAGGAGGAGGCTGCAGTGAGCCAACCCCCAGTGCACTCCAGCCTGGCAACAGAGGGAAACTCCATCTCAAAAAAAAAGAAAAAGAATCCAATAGGTATTCAGAAACTAAAAACTACAACATATGAAACGAATGTTTCTGACCTCATTTCTCTGTAAATGGCAGTGTAATTATTCATATGACAAAATGATTTTTTAAAACACACACTATAAGGCAGATGTTTCAGTCACTTCTGAAGCAGGCTTCATGGCCTGGTGTTAAATGCCAGATCTACAAAAGTTCAGCTTAAAGAACACACCCAAGACGATGCATTTCCAAGTGCAATTGTAATTCCACTGAGCAAATGAAGCGGGGGCCGTATGTCTAAATGCTAAACAAAGACGCAGTCTCTTAAGTTTTCCATCTTAACAGCAAAATCCAGACTGGAAGACTCAAGTCAAACAGCCCAAGTCCAAAGATGAAAAAAAGATGGAGAAAAACCTATCGTGACACTGAAAGAGGCTTGCCGGACATGTGAGCACACACCTGTAGTCCCAGCTACTTAGGCTGAGGCGGGAGGATCACTTGAGCCCAAGAGGTGGAGGCTGCAGTGAGCTGGGGTTACGCCTGGGAATAGTCCCTGAACTCCAGCCTGGGCAAGACAGCTGACCCCGTCTCAAAAAAACAAAACAAAACATTAAAAAACCCAAACCAAAAACAGTGGAAGAGGGAGGCAGAAGTGGAGAGCCAGAGGGAAGGAAACCTGCAGCACGGCTGGCTTTCCTCCACGTCAGCCTGCCAAGGCCATGCCTAGTGGCCACCCTGCAGAGCTGGTAGATGTGGCGGCTGCTACAGCGGCAAGGGGACACAGGCACAGGAACCCCCCATCTCCTGGGCATCTCAATGGTCCCCGGAGTTCTGGGGGGCGGGGGATAAAGCACCCGGTGAAGGGGTCCATAGATCTAGGCTGTGCCAGGACACCACAGGGCAAAAGACAGATTCTGGCACCTGTGCCTCCATCCAGCAAGAAAGACCCCATGCTCGGCAGGCCCCTTAGCACCGTGGCAGCAGCACAGGCTGTGTTTGGGGTCACTGCCCCACCCGCTGACTGAGAGGCCCAGAGGCTCGCCGTCCCCAGTGTGGCCCAGGGCTGCTGGCTACGGTGAAAGTTTCCTGGCTGCTTGGACCACACTGTCTGTCCCGAGGATCCAGTGTACAGGAGGTAGGGTGGGTGTGGAGCCTCCGGCAGGCCCCTGTGGAGCCTCCCACAGGTTTCTGGGGCTCTGGGGCTCTGGGGCTCAGCCACACCTTCCTAGTGGAGGCTATTCTTCTTTTGGAAAGCAGCTCCTGGAATGCTGCCTTCCCAGGCTGGGTTTCCCTGCTCCACAGTCATGCCCTTGGGCAGCCCAGCAGCCAACTACTGCGTGGTGGGAACGGTGTTTGCGGGCCCAGCCCAGACGACACAGGTGAGTCCCTGGGCCCATCGCATTGCCCCCTTTTGCAGCACAGATGCTGCCTGGGGAGAGCACCAATGCAGAGGAAAGGCTGGGAAAGGCTCCCACACGCTGGCATCAACTCCAGCCTGACCTCCCCCGCACTCTGCAGTCCCATGCAGGGAGGTCCTGGGGGGCAGCGGTGAGGGACAGCCCCCCGGGGGCACCTGATCACCCACTTCCTGTGTATCACTAACTCCGGACACCAGTGAGGGCTGGGGCTGGCTCTCCAGGGCCCCAGACAGTGGTGATGCGGAGAGTTGGAAAAGGCTGGGGGATGGGTCTGTGAGGAGCAGGGAAAGCCAAGCTCAGGGGGAGGCTCTGCATCCTGCAGGGACGCCCCTATAGAGAGTCGGCCACGGCGGGGCACAGACAAGCAGGTGGACATCATGACCACACCATGGACAGCAGCCAGCAGGCCCTGGGGCAGAGTGGCATGGGGGCAGGAATGGTGGCTACACCAACAGCATGAGCTCCTTTTCCAAGACTGATCTAGAGCAAGTCCCACCCACGCAGAACAAGCCCTCTTTACAGATCATCAGACATGTGGGGAGAGCAGGGCTGCAGGCCGAGAGGAGGAGGCTGGGGAAGGCGTGCTCTGTCTGGATGGACTTCCTGGAATAGCCTCCGAGTGCAAAAATAGCGTGTCCATGTGATGGCCACCAGGTGTCCCCGAAGCACAGAAGGCGCTGAGTCAGCAGCATGGACTCCTCCGAAGGCACGTGAGCTGGGTGGCCACGGCTGTGGGCTGGAGCCTCGCACATCCTCAACACTAAGTGCCCAGCCCTGAGCCTACCGTCTGGAGGCAGGGCAGTCTCACTTGACACCTGCTGCTCTGAAGGGGACACAGCCTGTTCTGGCTGAAATAGACTTCCTAGCAGATGTGGAGAATCCCCCCTGCCAACCCCACCGGTGCGGTCCCAGCACCCCTAGCAGCCCTGCTTCTGAGCCGGAAACCCACTTTGTAGCAAAAAGAGGCACCATGGCAGGAGTCATGGAGCTCCCTGTGTCTTGGTGTCACTTTCTCCAGGTGCGGGCTCCTGATGGGAAGCCCTGAGGGTCAGTGCAGCCAGGATGCAGCTCCTGGCCCTGTGGCCTCCAGTCTGAGTTTCCCTCGACCAGATGAAGCTTCCTGGTCCTGTCTGCCCCACACCCCGCAGAGCGAGTGAGGCAGGGCTGTACTGGAGGAAGGCTAGGAGTCCACCTCAAACTACAGAAAGCAAAATGGGGGCTTCCCTGCCTTTCCCTGACACCGAGAGCAGAAGAGCAGCCTCTTGGTTTCCCATCAGGAGCCTGCACCTGGAGAAAATGACACCAAGACACTGGAATGATTGGAGATGATCCTGGGCAGAGCCCCAGTTCTGGCCTTCAGTGACAGAAGGGACATCCTCCCCAGATTTTCCTAGGGTCTGACCTTGCCTGTGTTCCCCGCTTCCTCTCACAGCCGCCTCTTGCCAAGGCCAAATTCCCATCTATTGGACAGGCTCCACTGCTTACATCCCACGGGTCCTTCCGCGGCGGTGCTTCCGCGCACCTGTGGCTCTTATCAAACAACTGCCACTACTTCCGTCCTCAGGACAGGGTTGAGCTCCTTATCCTGGCACCTGGGGCGCGGTGTGAGGGGGTATACAGGCAATCAGGCGATGGGCGGTGCCGGGCCTGAGCTGAGGGATACAGCTGGCTGTTGGTGCCAGGCCTGCATCTATCTGGACGCTGCAGCCAGCATGGCCCCAGCAGGGGCGTCAGGGTCAGACCTGATGTGGGCCGCGAGGCCCTATGGGCTCCGTGGAGAGGAGCCCAGGGAAGAGCAGGCGGAACCGTGGGTGAAGTAGGCCCGCGGCACCAGCGCAGAAGCAGGAGGGCGGGCAGCCGCGAGGACAGAATGAGCAGTGAGGAAGGCGGCGGGCGCATGGAAACCGACGAGTTCGCGTTGGGAGGCGCTGCTGAGCCTCAGGGCGGTTCCGGGCCCGGCACAACGTTTGAGCGGCCGACCCCGGTCGGGAGCAGCGCAGGGTGGGAGCTTCGGGAGCAGCGCAGGGTGGGAGCTGCGGAGCCTAAGGCGGCGATCTGGCCCGAGGCGACGGCGCGGTGTCCCGTTTCCTGCCACCGGAGGGCGGCGCGCGCTGGGCGGGCACGATGCGGTGGACCCGCGATGAAGGCGGACCCGGGATGGAGGCGGCCCCGACCCCCGCGAGGGCGAGTGGCGCAGGGCTGGGTCTTCCCGAGAGGCTACGCACCCGGGCGGCGGGCGAGAGCCGGGCGCGGCGGGAGGGGCTTGGGTGTGTCGCGGGTCTGCGCCGAGCACTCACAGGTGAGGGTACACGCGCATACACACACGTGCACCCACCTGCACACGCGCACAAGCACACGTGTATATGACATGCAAGCGCGCGCCCACTCCGAGCGTGTCCCGGCCCAGGGCAGCCCCCTGCCAACAGCTCACCCGCTCACCCCCAGCGGGCGCAGGACGCGCGGGCTCTCACCTGGAGGGGCCTGTGGGCTCTCAGCCGGCGCCGGCTCCCTTGCCTGCCCGCCCGCTTTCCTCTGCAGTGGGCGGTTCTCACCGGGCTTCCCTAGGGGAAAAGGACCGTCAGTGAGCTTGGGATGAGAGGCCCCCATACCCATCAGTCTCAAGAGACACTTATGGGGCACCAAAAGGGCCGTGCATCCTGGCAGATAGGGAGCCCCCCACCCGGGCCTCCTCCTGAGGGAGGCACACGGACAACCTTAAGGAGCACGGGCTCCTCCAGCAGCACATACTCCACTGCACAGCAGGCCTCAGGGAGGCACAGGCGACAGCCAGCCAGCAGGAACGCACCCAGGCTCTTATGGGCCAAGAATAGGCAGGTTGCATCTCTGCTAGAAGGACCCTGTGGGCTGGCAGTGCTGCCTGCTGGCCCTGCCCCACCCCTTACATTGTCCACCACCTTGTGCCACGTCCCTCCCCCAGGCCCTTCCCCTCTCTGTGTGTCCACTTCGGCACTCCCCTGGCAGGTGGCTGTCCCTCTGCTCCTGAGCTTCTGGGGCTAGGACTGAAGAGGAGCGGGAGCACTGCTCCAGGCAGGGTTGGGCCAGGCAAACCAGTCGGGCCAGTGTGACTGAACCAGCTGGGATGGGGCCCTGGGCGTGGGTGTGAGTCAGCGGCCCCGGGCTGGGGAAACACTAGGGAGGAGGCCACCTGGAGCCCACCCTCCCAATAAGAAGCCCAGAGGACGCCGGTGTTTGGGGCTAGCCCTGTACCCCCACCTCCGGCCCCAAGACCCAAAGGCAGCTCTGGTCCAGTCAGGCCCTTGTTGCAGTGTGCAGGATAGCCAGCCCCCAGGCAGGATGGCACCAAGAGCCCCGGCCCCACCTCCATGACCGCCAGGACTTTTCTTTGGGCCCCACATCCGTTCACAAAGTGCCACGCAGGCCTTTGAGGGCCCAGTCTCTCCCGCCAGCCACAGTGCAGTGGCCCAAACCCTGCCCTAGCTCCCACTGTGTCCCTGGGTCCTTTGTCACCACCGAACACCACGGGCAAGCCCAAAGCCCAGTGGTGCTCCTGTGAGCGTGCTAGCTGCCCTGGAGCCCTCCGGAGTGCGGGCTGGGGGTTCCCATGGCCAGCTGGGCTCAGGTTGTCTGTGGCCAGGGAGGGTCTGGGCCCTGAGGGTCAGTGTGGCCAGGATGCAGTTCCCTCGACCAGCTGTGGGACTGGGGGAGCTGGGGTGAGGCGGGGGCGGGGGCATTGGTGCCGCCAGGGCAGGACCAGGCACGCCCGTTGCTGTGCACAGCCGGCGCTCTGGCTGCTGCGCTGCCTCCTCCAGCTTCTCAGCCTCCCTCCCAGTCTCGCCAGCAGGGCCTGCGGCCTGTAAAACCCCGTGCCGCCGTGTCAGCGCGTTAGTCAGCCTCAGCCCAGGCGAGCCACCACGCCGCGGAGTCCCTATAAACTCCCTGGTGTGGCCCAGCCCCACCGAGTGGGGTCAGTGAGGCCCACAGGCAGAGCCAGAGTCCCGAGCTGCGGTGCTGCGGGCACCAGCCAAGGGGCAGGACCTGGAACAGGGGGCCGAGCCTGGCGTGGGAGCACACAGCCACTGTGGCCTCCAGGGACGCCCTCTGAGCTGGCCTGAGGCCGGCCAGTCGATGAGCCAGGGCCCCTGGGGAGCAGACACCTGGTGAAGGAGACGCTGGATCCAGGGCCATGTCTGGGAAACGAGGTCGAGTTCGCAAACACCGGGCCAGGAGGGCAGGCAGGGCCCAGCCGGCAGCTGGGCAGCAGGGCCCTGAGGTCGAGCCCCCGCCCCTCACCCCAGGGGGCCCTCAGGGTGATGCGGGGGTGGCCCCTACAGGGCACGTGACCAGCACCGAGCCAGCACCTCAGGGACACCCCAGGGTGGCCAGGCCAGAGCAGCCACAGGCAGCCTCGAGGCCGGTGCCGGCTGCTGCTCCAGGGTCTGAACTGGTGCTGGTTCTCACTGGGCACATGGAAGGCTGTGGAGCAGGAGGCCCCATGCCGGCCCTGGGCCCTGAACTGCTGAGGCTCCATGAGGTCCAGCTTTGCCTGGCCCAGGAGCAGCTGCTGCTGGAGGACCGGTGGAGGCAGGTCCAGCTGCAGATGCAGCTGTGGCGGGAGGAGCAGCTGTGGCTGCAGCAGCTACAGGAGGAGCAGCTGTGGCTGCAGCAGCTGCAGGAGGAGCAGGCCTGGGTGCACATGGAGGGGCTGCAGCTGGCCATGGCCCTGGAGCAGCTCCGGAGTGAGGGCCTCGAAGCACTGCAGACCCAAGGCCAGGTAAGGCCTGGATGGGGTGGCGGGGAGGGGACCCCGGACCCTTATGTTGGTGCAGTGGCCACTCCAGCAACCTAGGGATGCCTGTGGAGGGCAGGAAGCCAGGCTGGATGCAGGGCATCTGTGGGCCCATCTTCACATCTGCCAAGTGAAGCCCGTGCCCGCCACACAGGGCACTGCAAGACCAAGGGACAGCAAGCCTGCCCAGGCTGGCCCAGCGCTTGGTGGAAATGGGCACTGAGGGCAGATACTTGTTCAGGGACAGAGGTGTCCCTGCAGCAGACCCAGGTATGCTGGGCCAGAGCTGTCCAGGGCAGTGTATGGGCTGCGGTACAGGGCGAAGGCCTGGGGGTGCAGTCAGTAGGTAGCAGAACTGAAGAGCACAGCCCCCACCCACGCAACCCAGTTTCCTGGCCGGCCTGCTGGTCCGCCTGCCCTGCCCCGTTTATTGGAGTGCAGTGCACTCAGGGCTAGAGACTGCGGAAGCAGCATGCGGCGCCTGTGCCCATTATCCTCATTCCAGGAGGGCTGCTGGCCTCAGACGCAGCTGGGGCTATTTTGGGGAACTAGGATCTAACCCCAGCCTGGTGTGGAGGAGTGGTCACCATCATCCCACCTGCTCCTGTGAATCTGGGAGCTCTCTGGCATCCAGGGGTGTTAGGCCAGGCCCACTCTAAGCAGAGGGGCAGTCTGGGGAGCAGTCTGGGGTACTCTCTTAGTAATCACAGACCCCAGCGCAGGCCTGGGTGCTGAAGGACCCCAGATCTGCAGCCTGGAATGTGTTCACAGCCAGCACAGAGAAAAAATGGGAGTTGGGGCAAGGGAGTGACAACAGTGAAGGCGGGGTCGGGGGGGATCTGGGGGAAGTCCCCTTCCCGACCCACAGGAAAACCCAGCCCAGGTGAGTTGTCACCATCCAACCTGGAAGTGACTACGGAGAAGGTGACTGGGAGCAAAGCGGCAGGCAGAGGGCAGCACAGGACGGCCAGATGGAGCAGAGCCAGAGCGGAACACATATTTAGACTGAGAATCCCCAACTTGGACTCAAGCCCTCCTGTTTCAAAACCCATTTTTGGCCACCTAGGCCCCTCCCACTGGCTCCTGCCCCCTTCCCATCCCCCAAAACTGGGCTTCTCTGAGCGCTACCCCCAGGCCCCCACCCCAACCCCAGGGGTATAAGATTAAGGCTGGGCCAGGCCCGGTGGCTGAAGCCTGTAACCCAGCACTTTGGGAGGCTGAGGTGGGCGGATCACCTGAGGTCAGGAATTCGAGACCAGCCTGGCCAACATGGCGAAACCCCTTCCCTACTAAAACAAAAATACAAAAATTAGCAGGGTGTGGTGGCGCACATCCATAATCCCAGCTACTCAGGCGGCCGAAGCAGAAGAATCACTTGAACCCAGGAGGTGGAGGTTGCACTGAGTCGGGATTGCACTCAACTAGGCGACAAGAGCGAGACTCCGTCTCAAAAAAAAAAAAAAGATTCAGACTCAAGGCCTGATATGAATGAATGAACCCTCAGTCAGTCACACCTAATCCCAACTCAGAGATCCCCTGAGAGCCACTCTTGGAAGAAGGGCTATCCTCAGAGGGGGTGTCTCTCAGTGGTTACACAGAAGGTCTCACAGGTCAGTGTTTGGGTGACAGTGCCCTGGAGGTCAGAGGGTGCACTCACCAGCAGTGGCTCTCGGCTTGGGCCCAGGGTGGAGCGTCTGCCACTTCCCAGCTGCAGCTTTGGGTCCCCGCTTCTTACTGTGCATTCTCCTGGGGGGTGGGTAGGGAAGGACCAGGGAGGGGGTGCTCAGAGTGGCAGAGGGCAGGGACAGCGGCAGTGGGGAACAGGGCACACCACGGGGGCCTGAGTGGATAACAGCAGGAACATGGGCTCCCCCAAGGCTTCCCAGCTGGTGTCCTGTCTGCCTGCCCGCCCCAGGTGTGTGCCCAGAAGCTTGAGCCAGGATGCCTGGCAAGAGCACTTGGCCACATCCCATCCCCCCGGCCGTGGCTTGCCTGCCCCTCCGCCCCAGGCTCAGCCCATCCTGCCAGGCCCAGGATCTGGAGTCCAGCACTCTTCTCACTGCCCCAAGGTGCTGGGTTGCCAGTGGGACGGTCTTTGTTCTCACCATAAGCATGAGCACGGCCCTCTCTGCTGAAGCCTCCATGCCTCTCCACTGCCCTGGGAACCCAGCCCACCCCTGAGCCTGCTCCCCAGCCCACCCAAGGCACTCACCCCTCCACGCCCTCAGACCCTATGTGGTCCCGGCCTTGGCAGATGGTGTTGTCAGGTCCTGGAGTAATACCCCTCTCCCCAGTCCACACAGCTGACCCCCAAGTTCATTTCCCTGGGAGGCTCCTCCTGCCTGCTTTGGCCTGTCGGGGTCCTCCCTGGTGCCCCATGCCCCTCACCTGCTGCAGCACAGTTGCCTGGGCACTGGTCTGACCCCCCACCCATGTTTCCAGCATACTGGTACCAGTGGGGTGTCACTGTCTGGGGCAAGAACAAATGAAACTGGGAGTGACCCTGAAAACAGAAAATAGGATCACATGGCAAGAGGGACAAAGAGAAAGGTGACTGATACCATCAGAAAGGGTTCAGGCAGGGCCAGTCCTTGGGGTGGGAGTGGCAGGGGTGAAGGGTGGTGCAGGTAATCCAGTGCAGGGCAGGGCCTAAGTCGGGGGAGAGGCCCTAAGTGAGGGCCTGAGGGGGATTTGGGGGTACTGGAGCACCCAGGGGCAGCTCGGGGTGGTGTGTGGGGGTTGCTGTGTTCATGCGGGGGCGTCCGGTATGTGAGGCTTGGTGTGCACACTGGGTCCCTTGTCCGTGTTGGGGCTTGGTTTTCGCGGGGTCCTCGAGTGTACACCCAGGGTTCTGTATGTGTGAGGGAGGTCCCCCGGTCTCTCAGAGTCAGTGTGAATATGGCATCCCTGTTTGTGTGTGGGATCGGTGTCTGAGGGATCTCATATGCAGGTGGGGTTCCCTACGTGTGCGGACGTCAGCGTGTCTGTGGGTGACTGGAGTGGACAGGACTGGGTGTGCATGTTGGGCTCTGTCTTCCTGAGGAGTCTCCTGTGCTTGGGGGGTTGGTGCACACGAGGGACAGGTCATTCGGGGTCTGCATGTGCATTGGGGGTCACTGCAGCAGAGTCCCCTACAAGTGTGGACATCGATGTGAAGGGATGAGGGAGAAAGATGGGGGACCCCAGATACTTGTGGGCATCAGTGTGTGTGTGTGGTGGGGGTCGGGGCCTGGGGGTCCTCTGTGTGGGCGGGGTCCCCTCTACGTGTGGGACGCTGGTGCGGTGGGAGACCGGTGTGTGGTGAAAGGATCCCCTGTGCTTTCGGGGCTCCCAGACCCGGCCCCGCCCGGGGCTCGACGCCGCCCCAGAGCCCTCACCTGCCGCACCTGCCTTCACCAACTCGGCGAGGAGGTCAGAGCTCCGCCCCTTGCGTCGGGCTGGCTCGTTTCCTAGCGACTGAGCCGGAACTTCCGAGTCACCCCAACTTCCGGGGCGAGGGTCAGGGGTCAGGCTAGGAACTTTGAGCCTGGGGTCAACAGTTGGGCTCCCGGGGGTCGAGGCCTTTGAAGTGTGGGCCTCACGGTCTCCGGCGGCGCTCAGCCGGGGTTTCTGCGCACGCGGCCGCAGGGCACGGGCGGGTCGGGGTGGAGGGTCGGGGCGCGGGCCGGGGGCGCGGTCCGGGGCGGGCGGCGGGGCCGCGGCGGGCGCGGGGCGCAGGAATGCGGGCGCGCCGCGGGTGGGGCCGCTCCGCCCCCAGGTGCTGCCCGGGCAGGCAGGAGGCAGGAGCGACGGGCGGGGCGGGGGCGGGGGCGGGAGCGTGAATCAGGCCGGGCGGGCCGCGGCAGGGAGTGGCTGCCGGACCGACCGGACCGCGAGGCCGCTGGGCGGCGGTCGGCTCCTGCTGCCCCTGTGCCGAGACCCCGCGCACCTGGCCAGGTAGGGCCCCCCTCCCCCGGCCCGGGCGGGGCGAGGCGGGGGCGGGCGCCCCTCGGTGCGGTCCCACCTGGGCTACCCTCGCGCCCGCACCTGGGCCGGGGCCGCGCGACCCAGAGAGGGGCGGTGGGAGTGGAGCGCGGCCGCGTGCGCGGGGCCGGGGCGGCGGGTCAGCTCGGACAGGGGGCGCCGCTGTGCGGATATGGACGCGAGCGCCCTCGCACGACGGCAGCCCGAGAAGAGCCGAGTGGGAAGCGGCCCGGGATCTGGGTCGAGCCTGCCTGGCCGTCCCGACTCGCCGCTGCCCTCGCGGCCTAGCTTGAGTCTGGGTGCCGGGCACGGCCAGGACCCTTCCCTGGGGACGCCCGCCCGGGCTGCCGTGGACTGGGGTGGCCAGGGTGCGGCCTGGATCCCCGCGTGGCAAGCAGGGCGAGTGACGGGAGGGCTGCCCGTAGCGCCCATGTTCCAGGGCTGTGGTGGGTGGATGGGGCACCCAGCCGCCGCAGCCGCGAGCTCACAGGGTGCACTGACCCCGTTGGGGGCTGGGGTGCCCACCCCGCAAGCTATCACTGAGCGACTTCCGGTCTGTGAGCCCTGTCCTCCGCACCCCACCTTTCCGCCGCCTAGAGCCTCCGCGCCCTCCTGGGCCCATCGGAACTTGGCACAGGCTCACCCCACTTTGCGTAGGAACTCCGGATCCTTCCATGGGGTCCTCCTTCCAGATAGGAACCCCACTTCCTGCCAGGGTGGAGAGGATGGGGTCCTTGAAGGCCAGCTGAGGGCCCTGACTTCGAGTCAGAGGTCAGGGGTCAGCAGCAGAAGAGTGGATTCGTGCTGAGTCATTGACCATGGGTGGGTTCCGTGCCCTCCCTCCCTTGGGCAGGCGTTTGGTAGGCAAATGTGTGGGCATGCAGGCCACTGGGGTGCTCCATCTCGGGCTTGGGAGTGTCTGCGGCCCCGTCCATAGCCCAGCAGACACGTACCCATGAAAGGACACGATGTGAGGAATGAAGCCACTGGAGGTCTGGGCATCACCCTGTGATGATGAGGGGTGTCTGCTGGGAGGGCTCCTGGCAACGGGGGATTCCACAGTCCAGATGATCCCTGCCCCCATTACACGCAGCCTGGAGCCTGGATCCCTCTCCTGTGAAATCCAAAGGGACAGTGGGGGTCCTTTCTAGAGTGTCCCCCAGCGTCGGGAAGTGCCCTCAAACAAGGTTAGCAGGGTTGTTCCCCCTGCCCTGTATGGTCAGACAGCACCCCTACAGCTAGGCTGGCAGTGGTGAGTGGGCGCCCCGGCCCAGCCAGACAGGCCTACACCTCACCCCCATGTGGTTGGCCTCGATCTGCCCCTGGCACAACCAGAACAGTGTGCCCTAACCAGCCCCATATGTCAACCATGAGGACAATGCCCCAACAAAGAAATGTTGGGACAGCTTCTCCCAGGCCAGTTGGCATCTGGGGCTGTTGAGTAGCACGTTATTTCCCATGTCCCAACTCCATGTCACCCCCAGGGGTACCAGGCAGGACGGCAGCCTCCTGACCCCAACATTCTCAGCCTAGTGGCTCCGGCTAGCACCTGTGCAGTCCAGCTGGCCAGCGCCCATCCTGTCAGCGCCCCAGGGCACACTCCTCTGTCTGGGCTGAACCACCTTCCCAGCCAGGGCCAACATTCGGGAACCTGTGTGCTAGGTGGGGATAGGTGTCCTGCCTCCCTCCCCAACCCGAGGAGCAGTGGGATGGGCTGAGCAGTCCCTAGGGCTCTCCTTCCAGGGAGAGGTACCCAGGTAGCTCGGTGACCCCATGTGCGTGGGCCCTGGGTGCGCCCCATCTGACCTTTCTGGAGAGGCCAGGTACCCTGCAGGGACCCTTTGGAGAACAGAGTGGGCTGTGGGGCAGCCAAGTATGGATGATGGTGGGGAGCCCAAGACCTGGAAAGGTCCCTGCTGCCCTGGACGGGGGGGGCTGGTGGCAACAGGACTCTTAAGTGGGGAGCCAGATCTGGGCGATGTGGAGTGCAGGCCCTGCAGAGCCCTGTGGGCACCAAGGGGTTGTGGTCCAGGGAGGTTTTATCTGAGAGGGACAGTGACAAGAAAGGTCAAGGGAAGGAGGGGGGCTGGTAGACAGGGACAGAGTCTAGGGGTCAGTGTTGCAGGGCTGGGCAGTCATAGAATGGGCTGTGGGAACCCAATTGTGAAACCCTGAGGATGGGGAGGAGGTGTCGCCCGGGGCTATGCGTAGGGCTTAGGGTTGCCATTCCAGGAGGAGGGTGGTCACAGCCCTGTTTGCTGCGCTCACCTTGGCTAGGCACAGTGTCTTGTGGACCCTCAGCTGTGTTGTGCAGTAGAGGTAGGCCAGAGAGGTGCAGTGACCTACCCACGGTCTCCCAGGCAGTCAGGGACAGACACATGGCAGCATGGGTGGCACCAGCTTGTCCAGTAGGCACAGTGCCAGGGGCCTGTGAATGTCTTAAAATAAGAAAAAAGTGAATACTATAATGATGAATACAGCCTGAATTATGTTTGTCTTTAAGCCAACAGTCATAAAATATTTTGGGGGGGGGGTGGTTTTATTTTCATTTTTTGTAGCGATGCGGTCTCACTCTATCACCCAGGCAGGAGTGCAGTGTCACAATCATAACTCATGGCCGGCTGCGGTGGCTCACGCCTGTAATCCCAGCACTTTGGGAGGCCGAGACGGGCGGATCACGAGGTCAGGAGATCGAGACCATCCTGGCTAACACGGTGAAACCCCGTCTCTACTAAAAAATACAAAAAACTAGCCGGGTGAGGTGGCGGGCACTTGTAGTCCCAGCTACTCGGGAGGCTGAGGCAGGAGAATGGCGTGAACCCGGGAGGCGGAGCTTGCTGTGAGCCGAGATCCGGCCACTGCACTCCAGCCTGGGTGACAGAGCGAGACTCCGTCTCAAAAAAAAAGAATTAAAAAAAAAAAAATCATAACTCATAGCAGCCTCCAACTCCTGGGCTCAAACAATCCTTGTCTCAGCTTCCCAAGTGGCTGGGACTGCATGTGCACGCCACCATGCCTGCCTGATGTTTAAAATTTTTTGTAGAGATGGGGTCTTGCTGTGTTGCTCAGGCTGGTTTCAAACTCTTGGCTTCAAGCGGTTATCCTGCCTCAGCCTCCCAGAGGAAGGAGAGACAAGGCTGGGATACCTGTGCCCCACCCTCTACCAGTATCCCCTCAGCTTGGGGTGTCCCACAGTCTGCGTTGCCCTCTGTGAGCCTGGCTCGGCTGGTGTCCTGGAAGGCCTCCTGGGCATGGGCTAAACTTCAGCCTACCCAAGTCACTGACAGCCCCTTCCACAGTGTGTCCATGCTAGAGGGTAGGAGTGGTCCCAGTGCCCCCACCCCTAGTCATGTGTCTCCCTGCCCCTCCAGACCCCTGGCCCCAACATGGCCCGTCGCTCCCAGAGTTCCTCGCAAGGGGACAACCCACTGGCACCCGGGTACCTGCCGCCTCACTACAAAGAGTACTACCGCCTGGCGGTGGATGCACTGGCCGAGGGTGGCTCGGAGGCCTACAGCCGCTTCCTGGCAACTGAGGGGGCACCAGACTTCCTGTGCCCTGAAGAGCTGGAACATGTGAGCCGACACCTTCGGCCTCCACAGTATGTTACCCGAGAGCCACCCGAAGGCAGCCTTCTCGACGTGGACATGGATGGCTCCTCAGGTACATACTGGCCAGTGAACTCAGACCAGGCTGTGCCTGAGCTTGACCTGGGCTGGCCTCTGACCTTCGGCTTCCAGGGCACCGAGGTGACCACCTTGGTGCAGCCACCGCCCCCCGACAGCCCCAGCATCAAGGATGAGGCCCGCAGGATGATCCGTTCCGCCCAGCAGGTGCGCCATCTTGGGCTCGAGGGTAGTGGGGAGGGGCCAGGGCTAGAGGCACCAGGGTGGAGGAGACGCATGAGCATGATCAGCTTGGGTGAACCCTGAGCTCCAGCTGGAGGGGGGGTTCCTGGCAACAATCTTCAGGGCTGCCAGGTCTCGGTCATCAGAGGCTACAGGCTCTGCACAGGTCTGCTTGCCCATGGTCATGGCCAGTGCCCAGAAACTCAGGGGCTCTGAGATGGGTGGGCACCGCACCAGCCTGGGTTCATTGTTCAGATAATTACCTCTCATCCTGCCCAGTGGCCCTTGGCCAGCTGAGGGCTTCTAACCCTCACCAAACAGCTAGCAGACAGTGCAGGGTGCATCAGGTCCAGACGCTAAAGGCCCATGACTTTCTCCCCTGCCCATGGCAGCAACCCTGTCCCAGGGCAGAACTGGAGCCTGGGACTCAGCCCTGACAGCTGTCCTGAGTGGGGGCAGCTCAGCCGTCTGTAGGGTGGAGGGGATTTTGAGGTGCCCTTGCTGTGCCCCCAGCGGGGCCCCATACCCCAACCTGGCCCACCCTCGTCCAGGGTTCTCTGCCCTGCACCTGCCTCGGCTCCCTCCTCATGGCCAGCCACTCCCCACCTCTTCTCCTTCTGGTCCTGTGGTCCCTTCCTCCTACCCATCATCCAGACATGGCCCCACTCCCAGGGATGGACTAGCTTGTTTCACAGTGGTTGTGGGTGATCCAGACGCCTCCTGGGCATGGTGGGGAGGCTGGACAATAGTGGGGACAGCAGGGGCCTCTCCTCTCTGTCCTGACCCGCCCCTGCAGGTGGTGGCCGTGGTGATGGACATGTTCACTGATGTGGACCTGCTCAGCGAAGTGCTGGAGGCCGCCGCCCGTCGGGTCCCAGTCTACATCCTGCTGGATGAGATGAACGCGCAGCACTTCCTGGATATGGCCGACAAGTGTCGTGTCAACCTGCATCACGTGGATGTGAGTTCCCGGGAGTGGGAGACTGGGGAGGACCCGTGGCAGAGATCTGACTCCCCTCCCTCCCCAGTTCCTGCGGGTACGGACTGTGGCGGGTCCCACCTACTACTGCCGCACTGGGAAGTCCTTCAAGGGCCACGTCAAGGAGAAGTTCCTGCTGGTGGACTGTGCCGTGGTGATGAGTGGGAGCTACAGGTGCGCCCGCGAGCTTCCCTCTCCCTTCTCTGGGGCCTCCTCCTGTAGCCCCAGCACCCCCTTTCCACACCAGGGCCCTCCTTGCCAGGAGCCCTTGTCCTGTAGCCCCCTGCACAGCCTAGCAGGGCCCAGGTCCTTGCAGACCTCACATCCCTGCGTCCTCCCCGCCCCACCCGATGCCCACGGGGCTGCAGTGCCCTCGCTCCAGCTCGGTTTGACTCTGGCCCTGACCCCCCACAGCTTCATGTGGTCCTTTGAGAAGATCCACCGCAGCCTGGCACACGTGTTCCAAGGAGAGCTGGTCTCCAGTTTCGATGAGGAGTTCCGCATCCTCTTCGCGCAGTCCGAGCCGCTTGTGCCCTCGGCCGCGGCCCTGGCCCGCATGGATGCCTATGCCCTGGCTCCGTATGCCGGGGCCGGGCCCCTTGTGGGCGTCCCTGGGGTCGGGGCGCCAACCCCTTTCTCCTTCCCGAAACGAGCGCACCTCCTGTTCCCGCCACCCCGGGAAGAGGGCCTGGGCTTCCCCTCCTTCCTCGACCCGGACCGCCACTTCCTGTCGGCCTTCCGCCGGGAGGAGCCTCCGCGGATGCCGGGGGGCGCGCTGGAGCCGCACGCGGGCCTGCGGCCGCTCTCGCGGCGCCTGGAGGCCGAGGCCGGGCCGGCTGGGGAGCTCGCGGGCGCCCGGGGCTTCTTCCAGGCGCGGCACCTGGAGATGGACGCCTTCAAGCGGCACAGCTTCGCCACCGAGGGCGCAGGCGCCGTGGAGAACTTCGCGGCCGCGCGGCAGGTGTCGCGGCAGACGTTCCTCAGCCATGGCGACGACTTCCGCTTCCAGACCAGCCACTTCCACCGCGACCAGCTCTACCAGCAGCAGTACCAGTGGGACCCGCAGCTCGCGCCGGCGCGCCCGCAGGGCCTGTTTGAGAAGCTTCGCGGGGGCCGCGCGGGTTTCGCGGACCCAGATGACTTCACCTTGGGCGCCGGGCCCCGCTTCCCGGAGCTCGGACCCGACGGGCACCAGCGGCTGGACTACGTGCCGTCCAGCGCGTCCCGCGAGGTGCGCCACGGCTCGGACCCCGCCTTTGGGCCCGGACCCCGCGGCCTGGAGCCCAGCGGGGCCCCGCGCCCCAACCTGACCCAGCGCTTCCCATGCCAGGCCGCGGCGAGGCCCGGCCCAGACTCCACTCCCGAGGCGGAGCCGGAGCGCAGGGGCGGGCCCGAGGGGCGGGCCGGGCTGCGGCGTTGGCGCCTGGCCTCCTACTTGAGCGGATGCCATGGCGAGGATGGGGGCGACGACGGCCTGCCGGCGCCCATGGAAACGGAGGCTTACGAAGACGACGTGTTGCCTCCCGGGGGCCGGGCAGCTGCCGGCGACCTGCTCCCCTCGGCCTTCCGCGTCCCTGCAGCCTTCCCCACGAAGGTCCCGGTGCCAGGCTCGGGCAGCGGCGGCGGCAACGGCCCAGAGCGCGAGGGCCCGGAGGAGCCCGGCCTGGCCAAGCAGGACTCATTCCGCTCGCGCCTGAACCCCTTGGTCCAGCGCAGCTCCAGGCTGCGCTCCTCGCTCATCTTCAGCACGTCACAGGCTGAGGGTACGGCCGGGACTGCGGCAGCCACAGAGAAGGTGCAGCTGCTGCACAAGGAGCAGACGGTCAGCGAGACGCTGGGGCCCGGCGGAGAGGCCGTGCGCTCCGCGGCTTCCACCAAGGTGGCGGAGCTGCTGGAGAAGTACAAAGGCCCAGCCCGTGATTCCGGCGGCGGCGTGGGCGCCATCACCGTTGCCAACCACAGCAAGACTGTCGTGTCCCAGGCATGGCGGGAAGAGGTGGCGGCCCCAGGTGGCGTGGGTGGCGAGCGCCGCAGCCTCGAGAGCTGCCTCCTGGACCTGCGCGACTCCTTTGCGCAGCAACTGCACCAGGAGGCGGAGCGGCAGCCGGGAGCCGCCTCCCTCACCGCGGCGCAGCTGCTCGACACGCTGGGCCGGAGCGGCTCCGACCGCCTGCCATCCCGCTTCCTCTCTGCCCAGGGCCGCGCAACCTCCCCGGAAGGGCTGGACAGCCCTCTGCCCTTGGAAGGGCCCGGGGCGCACCAGGTGCTCCATAATGAGCCAAAAGGGAGCCCCACCTCGGCTTACCCTGAGCGGAAGGGGAGCCCCACGCCCGGGTTTTCCACTCGAAGAGGAAGTCCAACTACAGGATTTATTGAGCAGAAGGGGAGCCCCACCTCAGCCTACCCCGAGCGCAGGAGCAGTCCGGTGCCACCTGTACCGGAGCGCAGGGGCAGTCCCGTGCCCCCCGTGCCAGAGCGCAGGGGGAGTCCGGTGCCTCCCGTGCCGGAGCGCAGGGGCAGCCTCACTCTTACCTTCTCCGGGGAGTCCCCGAAGGCCGGGCCCGTGGAGGAGGGGCCGAGCGGCCCCATGGAAGTCCTGCGCAAAGGTTCCCTGCGCCTTAGGCAGCTGCTGAGCCCCAAGGGCGAGCGGCGCATGGAGGATGAGGGTGGCTTCCCAGTGCCGCAGGAGAACGGGCAACCTGAGAGCCCGCGGCGGCCGTCACTGGGCCGGGGTGACAGCACAGAGGCTGCCACAGGAGATGAGCGGGGCCCGCGGGCGCGCCTGACTTCAGCCACGGCCAATGCCTTGTACAGCAGCAACCTTCGGGATGACACGAAGGTCATTCTGGAGCAGATCAGCGCCCACGGCCAGAAGCACCGTGCAGTCCCTGCCCCGGGCCCTGGCCCGGCCCACAGCAGCCCCGAGCTAGGCCGTCCACCGGCTGCTGGCGGCCTGGCCCCGGATATGTCCGACAAGGACAAGTGTTCAGCCATTTTCCGCTCGGACAGCCTGGGGACCCAGGGCCGGCTGAGCCGCACGCTGCCAGCCAGCGCGGAGGAGCGTGATCGGCTGCTGCGCCGCATGGAGAGCATGCGCAAGGAGAAGCGCGTGTACAGCCGCTTTGAGGTCTTCTGCAAGAAAGAGGAGGCCAGCGGCCCTGGGGCAGGGGAAGGCCCCGCGGAGGAGGGCACCAGGGACAGCAAGGTGGGCAAGTTCGTGCCCAAGATCCTGGGCACGTTCAAAGGCAAGAAGTGAGTCTCCTGGCATCGCTGCCACGGTCACCCAGAGCCCCCACGGAACAGAGAGCCCTGCGCATGTGTTTTGAGCAGAGGCTGTCAGGCCACGGCCACTTGGGGCTTGGCTGAGTGCGCCAGACCTCAGCTCCACTGGAGGCTCACCTGGCAGCTGCTGTCTCTGCCCCTGGCCTCCACAACGCCGGGGCTCCAGCCCCTTGCCACCAGTGCCTTTCTCCCCTCAGCACCTTCTCTCTTCAGCACCTTCTCTGCACCGTCAGCCTTGCGTGGTGCAGCATCTGGCTCCGCCATCTCTGTGCCTCAGTCCCGCCCCACCTTTTTTTTTTTTTTTTTTTTTTTTGAGACCCAGGGCTGGAATGCAGTTGAGTGGTCTCGGCTCGTTGCCTCCTGGGTTCCTGCGATTCTCCTGCCTCAGCCTCCGTAATTTTTGTATTTTTAGTAGAGACAGGGTTTCACTATGTTGGCCAGGCTGGTCTCCAGCTCCTGGCCTCAAATGATCCACCCGCCTCAGCCTCCCAAAGTAGGGGGATTACAGGCATGAGCCGCACACCCTTCTAAGTCTCTATCCTCTTGCAAGGGCCTCACCTCTGTGCCTCAATTCCCCATTCTCTGGGCCCTTTTCCTCCTCAGGGCCTCCTGTTCTCAGGGCCTCTCCCCTCCCTCCCTCCCTCCTCCCTCTCTCAGGGTCTTCTCCCTTCCTCCCCGCCCCCACCCCCGCCCAGGGTCTCCCCCGTCCTCAGGGCTTCACTTCCTTTTCTACTTGGATTCTCTGGCTCGCTGCCTCCCAGCATCTTTCTTGGAGGCCCGTCCTCTTGCTGTGGGGGAAGACTGGGCTGGCTGTGAGCAGTTTGCAAGGTGGGGAGGGGCGTGAAGCTGGACCAGAAGATGCCCCTTGGAGTGGCAAGGAAGCTGGACAAGGCAGGCCACTGGGAAGGGGGTGCAGGGAAGCCCAAAGGTCCGCCTTGGCCAGGTCTGCCGTCTCCTCCAGCAAGGCTCTAGCCAGCACTGGGTGAGAGTGGGAGGGGCACTGGGTTTTGCAGCACAATAAAACATGGTCTGGACAACCTGTAGCCCTGGCCTTGTGAGCACCCCCTGCACAGGCCCAGCCCAAGCCAGGTGCCAGAAGGGCCGGATTTGGGGGGGCTTATCCTTGACAGGTATGGGACTAGGTGAGGGCAGGGGACAAGGTGCAGCCCAGGCCAAGCCCAGCTGTGTAGACATAGGTCCTGGGCACCCCTGCAGGTGGGAGTGGTCCTTGCCCTCCTGGTGTCCAGCAGACACCCCCCTCCAACCCCATTCTCAGGTCCTTTCCTCTTTGTCACCAACACTAAGAATCTGTTTAGAGTTCCTGGCCTATCTTGTATCTCTCTTCACCCCCAGAGAGGAATTGCAATTGACTCAGAATGACACATTTTGGCACCACATGTGTAGAACATCCCCCACTGTTAGATGCTAGCCTTGTGAAATTCATGTTTCTGTATTCTCTTTCTTTTCAAAAAATAATCTTTTTAGTGTAATAAATCCTAAGAGGGAACTGATTTAAGAAACAAGGCCACCAAACAAAGGCAGCAGTTCTGACTCCAGCAGCTGGGAGAGAAAGGGAAGTGACTCCACTCTCACTGCTGGACAGCCCACTGGTGACCAAAGCCACCACCCACGTAGGGATGACAGCAGGGACTTCTGGCCAGGGGGCAAAGGTGCCTGGAAGTGGGATGCACCTGAGCGTCTCTTGGCCATGATGTTCTTGTGGGCACATCTGTGTGTGTGCTGTCTGGGGTGTCGCTGAGCGGACAGGCTCTCCAGCTGGAGCCCATGGAGAGGCCAGAGGCTGGCGGCCCTGCCTGGGCCTTTGGAGCCTCCTGCCTGCACGCTCCACATCTTCTAAACCATGATGCAGCACATTTCGGTGTTAATAAAACATAACACACAAAATATTCTAGCACGTTCCCCAGTGTGTATAATCTCCCAGTTATTTCCTGCAGCCTTTAACCATGTGGCCTCCTGGATTTCCCCTGTGGACCCACCACCCAGCCCTGTGGGGGGCACTAAAGACCCCCCAGCTCCACTTCCAAGGCCCACCTTGGCCCCTCCGACTTCACGCTGCTCTCCTGTTCCTGTCCCCGATGCCCCCTGTGCAGGCACACTCCTGAGTGCCCACCTGCGATTCCCCATTCAGCAGCCCTACCACACACTGCCCAGCCTGAGGCCAAGCCTCCAGCCCTGCAGCCCCCGGGCCTCTCTGCAGCGTCCTGTCCCACCCTAGGCCTGCGCCTTGGGCTTTTGAAGCAGCCCACTCGGGAAACAAACCCCTGGGCCGGGTCTCTGACTGGCTCACCACTTCATCGGGCCCTCCCGCTCCCTCTTCCGCCTCCTCCAACCTTCTCCCAAGCCCAGCCTCCCTGAGTCTCTTGCAAGTTCCTGGCCTAGCACCAGGGCAGCGCTAGCTCCCACCCTCTGCTCAGCTCCCCCACCCACATCTTGTCCTTCCCCACCCTCCCACATGGTGGCAATGGCTTCCACAACCCAGAGGCGTCCCTGCTCCTGGCAGCCCAACCCCCGACCACAGCACAGGCTGCGCCCTTCTGACTGTGAGCTCCTCCGGCCTGTGAGCTTCCCAGACTGTGAGTCTGGCAGCCCAACCCCCCCCCACCAACAGCACAGGCTGCGCCCTTTAGACTGTGAGCTCCTCCCAGCCTGCGAACTTTCCAGCTGCCTCCCTGTGTTCCAGCCCCAACCCAGGGGCAGGTGCAGCTGAGGACACCTGGCACCCTAGGACACAGCTTTGTGCCCACAGGGCCCCTTTGATCTCTGCAGCCCTGCACAGCCCTGGCCTTTACCAGGGCTTTTGCCTGGGGGTTACAAGAGGAGGTAACCCTGACCTCACGAGATGTCTGTCTCCCACCCTCACCTACAGAGACCTGAAGACAGATCAGGCGCAGTAGCTGTACTGAGGGAGCGCAGGCTGTAGTCCCTGACAGCAGGGGAGGGGTGAGGCTGCCCCCTTCTTTCTCCCTTTCTCTCCTCTGGGTCAGAGTCACAAATATGGCCATGGGGTGACCCTAGGTCCCTACCCCACAGGACCACCCTGGGGGGCAGCCTGGACCCTGAAGCCACAGCAGGTAGGAAAATGATGGACCAAGGACAGGAAGCTGCCCCAGGCAAACCTAGAGGGAAAAGCCCAGTGCTGGATGTGGAGTGGGCAGGGCCTCTAGTGGGGCGGGTGGCACTGAGCTCTGGGGTGGAGGTTTCAGGACAGGGGTGGTGGGGTCTTCAGAGGAGTGGAGGCTCCAGGAAAGGGGTCGGGGCCCCCAGCTAGTGGATGCTGTGACCTCAGAGGGGAGGGGAGGAACGATGGCTGCTTAGATTGGGGGCAGACATGACTTTATTGGAGGAAGTCACTGGGGCTGGGGCAGGGCCCTCATCTGCTCCCCCGAGGAGACCCAGGCGAGCTCCCTGGAACTTCAACGTGGCCTGGCAAAGCAGGGAGGGCTAAGGGGTGCAGGATACCAGGGAGGGGTCTGGGGAAGGGGCTGGGGCAGGAACAGGGGCCAGGTGAAGGGAGTAGAGCAGCTCATACACGGTGCCTCTCCTGCAGGGGCAGGTGGCCCAGTGCCGAGTGGCAGACAGTCCCATAGGCTTGGGAGTAGCCTCCAAGCAAAGCCCTGGCGGCCCCCTGGGCACCCTGCAAGGCAGAGGTGCTGAACATCCTCCGGCCGGGCCGGGCCTCCGGAGGACTCCGGGGAGGGACCTGTGTATAGTTGAGGGTCACATGAAGAGGGTGTCAGAGGGGGTGCAGTGGAGGGGAGGCCTTGAGGTCCTCGAGAGATTTGAACTGGACATTGGAGGGGCAATGGGAAGGATGGGGAAGGGAGGGAAAAGGAGGGGAAGAGGAGGATAAGGGGATGGGGGCAGACTGGGCCGGGCTCACCTGTTGTGTGCTGGCCACCCTCACCCCACCACCCTGGTTCCAGTCACCCCGGATCAGGGCCTGGTTGGCCACCTGAGCTGCAGCCTGTGAGGTCAGGGAAGGCGCAGCTCCCCTCCGGCCTGGCTTCTCCTGGGGAGGGCCATGTCACAGGGTCACAGAAAGGTACAGAGGAAGGGTCCCTCCTGTGCCCACCCCACCATGACTTACCAGCAAGAATGTCAAGGGGGGCTCTTCCTTCGCCCCAGGGGGCCTTTCCCCACTCCCTAGGAGTGCAGGTTGGAGCATGGGAGCGGAGTTCTGCCTGGGAGTGTTCTTGGCTGCACGGGGGAGCTCTGTGGAGTCAGAAGGTCAACCCCAGAGTCAGGAACCCGACGCTGCGCACAGTTGGCAGCCACAGGCAGAAGGGGCCCGGGCCATGCTCTGTGTGGGTAGCCAGCAAAGATCACACACCGTGCTCGGGGGGGTCATGGCTTGGGCTACTCTGAGGCCTGGGTCTGGGACCCTGCACAGGTGTCCCAGAAGGCAGCTGCGGGTCAGCTCTGGGTTTGTGCAGGTGTGCCTGGGACGGGGAGACACCCTTCAGGCCCTTCTCTCTTGAGGTGCCATTGCTGCCTTTGCACTCCAGGATCATCTGCAAGAGGAGAAGGGTGCTCAGAGGGCACAGCCTGGGCATGGGTGTTTGGGGGTCTCTAACATAGGAGGCAGCCTCCAGGGTGCAGTAGACAGGGGATGATGGGGGTCTCGAGCTGGAGCACCTGATAGACGCAGCTGCGGTACTCAGGCGCAGAGAGCTGGACCCCTTCGCGTGCCCGGAGCTGCACATGTACCTTTCGTGCCCACTCATCACTGGGGCAGTGGAACCTGCAGGAAGCCAGAGAGGTGAGGCCTGGGCTGTGGCCAAGGGAGCCCCTCAAGCTGTCATTGCAGGGTCCGTGCTGCGGGGGCTCTCCCTCGTGGGCTGGCTCTCTCCTGCCCCCACCTCTGTCCCCCGCACTTAGGGGACTTTCTCCCACTCCCACCTCTGCACGTAGGGGTGCTGCAGTGCCTGGGTGGCGCTTAACCGCTTGTCTGGGGTGAACACCAGGAGTCGTCTGAGGAGGTCCAAGGCCTCTGGGGAGGTGTCTGGCGGTAGGAGGGCGTCCAGCGTCTGTCGTGGCCTGTGGGCTGCTGTGTGTCGTCTCTAGCGCCCGACCCAAGGGCCCCTCCTCAGATCCACATTCATGGGTGGGGCTCAGCTTTGAAACTGGGGTCCACCCTGCTGTCCTGTCTAGGTAGATGCCCCTGTGCCTGACCTGCACAGTGGAGAGACCCCTGCAGCCCCCTGGTGCCCTCCTCTCCACGCCCAGCACAGCTCCTCCAGGCCACCCTCTAGGACCACCACCAGGGGCTCCTGCTTTCAGAGTGGCCAACAGTTGTTGGGTTGGGGACTGCCATCATGAAAGCAGATAGAATCTGAACTGGTACAAATTGGACCCAGTAACCTTGCAGGAAGGTGGCCCTGCTCCCTTGAGACAGGCCACCCTCTCACCCTCACCGAAGTGCCCCTACTCACCGGGACCCCAGGCGGTGCAGCACAGAGGCACGGCAGCCTGAGCCGAGAGCCAGGAGGTCTGGGGCAGCAGAAGGTGGTGTGACCCAGGCAGGCCTGGTAGACTGGGGTGGCTCAGGGTATCTGGGGCCAGCCGTCTCTTCCAGCCCCAGGGAGCACAGCCTCTCCACAGGGTTTCTGCTGTCTGGCAGGGCTCAAACACCCCATCGCCAGGGTGTGCCACCCAGCCTGTGCATGGGAGCACCCGATCACAACCCCTGCTCCACACTCTGGCACCTGGCCCTGGGGCGTGCTCACACAGGTGGACACTGGCGCCCACCTCCACGGATGAGGAGGCTCCACCCGGACAAGCAGATGTGCCTGGCAGTGCAGCTCCCTCTTGCCCCCACCCTCAAGAGTGACCCCCATGGCCCCACTACCACTGCCTTCCTCCACCTCTTCCCCTAGCACCTGAATCTCTCCTGCCCAGCTCTCTGTGCGCACCCCAGCTCCCAGCACAGTGACAGTCCCTGCCCCTGCTACCTGAATCCCTCCGGGAACTTGTCCAGCCTGCTGGCCCCTTCACGGTCACTGCTTGGCCCTCATGGTGACTGTGCCAGGTGCTGCCTACCCACATCCCCCCGCCAGCAGCTCTTCCTGGGCCTCCATCACCAGTTGGTCTTCCTGGGGTTCCTGCCTCATCCTCTGGATCCTCCCTGACCCCGTCCCTCCTCTCAGCACAGTCCTAGCCTGTCAGCTGCTGTCTCCCCACAGCTGTGCTATCTGACCTGCAGCATTCTCGGTGCCCAGCCCCAGCCACCTGGCTCACCCTCCTTGGATGGTGGTGGGATGGTCGCCAGGATCAGCTCCAGCTGGTGGAGGGTGGACGTGCCCGGAAACAGGGGCCTCCCCCGCAGCATCTCCCCCAGGATGCAGCCCAGACTCCACATGTCCACCCCAAGGGTGTACCTGGGGCAGGAAAGAGTGTAGGCACGGAGAGCCCAGAGGCAGAAGTAGGGGTAGGGTTGCTAGGGGGGTGAATGGGGGAACACTTGTGAACCAAGGCAGGGTGGGAGTACAGGAGGCCTCGGAGCCCTGGCTGGGCAGGAGGGCAGCAGGGAGGTGGAGGGTGGGTTGGGGATGTCTGGCTGTTACCGGTGTGAAGACAGCAGCACCTCTGGAGCCCGGTACCAGCGTGTGGCCACGTACTCTGTCAAGGCCTGGTCTTCAGGCCCCTCAGGGAGGTCGCCCAGGGAGCGGGCCAGACCAAAGTCACACAGCTTCACCGTGCAGTTGGCATCCAGGAGCACATTGGACGGCTGCAGAGAGGAGGCAGGCTGAGGCCTTGGGGCTGGGTGGGGCCAGGAGCTGGGCCACGTGGCCTAGCAGGGGGCTGGAGGCGGGGGGACCACACCTTCTGGTCCCGGTGCACAACGTGCCCCGAGTGGAGGAACCGGGTGGCCTGCAGAAGCTGGTAGAAGATGGAGCGCAGGTGGACGTCCTGCAGTAGCCCGCCCTTCCGGATGACTGCGTTCAGGTCAGTGTCTGCGGAGAGGCCGCGCACTCCGGGGGGGGGGGGGGGGGGGGGGGGGGGGGGGGGCAACCTGTGGGGAGTGGGAGAGGGGCACCTGGCAGGTCTGTCCCATTTTGAACCAGCCCACAGCCTGGCCACCCCACTTCTCCATCCTGCGCACTGCCTGTGGGCACAGCGGTGGGGTCTGTAGGAGTTTTCACACTTTATTTCATGTTACCTTTGTTTCATAAAATAAGGAAAAGGAGAACACAACTGCAAACTGTGGTCGGAGCAGGAGCCTGGGGCAGGTGGGACGAAGGGGGTCGCTGCTGGCTCTGGAGGCTGACACTGGTCAGCTGTCTGTCCCTGAGTCCAGGGTACAGGGTGAGGGAGCAAGCCACTGTGGACCGCAGAAGGACACGCAGAGGGCGTAAGGACAGGACAGAGGTGGGGCTGGGGCCCTGGCTGAGGCCTCACTCACCCATAAACTCAAACACCAGGTAAATGTCCCTATCGTTCTCTGCCCGGATCACATCAAGGAGGCTGATGATATTGGGATGGTCCCCAAACTCCTGGGGAGAGAGTTGGAGGTGGCTGGAAGGCCAGGAGGGGCTGTGTTCTGGGGGCCAAGAAGCTGGGTTTCTCTCTTGTCTGGAGAGAGCTGTACCTGGGGAAGGGGACTGGGCTGGAGGGCCCAGGCCACTCACCTGGAGGAGCATGATTTCCCGAAATGTTCTCTGAAGAGACAGAAACACAGGTGTGTGGGTGGGCGGAGCAAGAAGGAAGCCCCTGTCCTGAGAGGACCCAAAGGAGCTGATGTCTGTCACCCAATGTCCACCAGACCAGGCATGGCAAGGGGGCAGTGTTCTGAGACAGGCCAGAACATCTGCTATGACCCGGCTCCAGCTCCCACTGGAGCTTCCAGGCACCAGGGCAAGGGGCTGCCCCTCCCAGCCCCCATCCTCTCCTGCGCTTCTCCCCACACACTCACCTGGGCATCTGTCTTATCCCTAAAAGCATCAAAGATTTTCTTGATGGCCACGACCTCACCAGTCCTTCGGTCCACTGCCTTCCACACGATGCCATAGGCCTGGGAAGGAGTGCCATCATACAGGGCCAGGCCCTTGCCCTGCCATCCCCTACCCACCCAGATTGTCCCTACAGACATGAGGCTCCTCCTTCCCATCCTGGGTCCTGAAAGGGGATGGAGTGTGGGCTTCTGCAACTGCAGGCTGCCCTAGACTCCGACATCTTCCAAAGGAGGGAGGTGGAGCGGAGGGAGGGTGAGCTGGCGAGGCCCTGGAGGAAAGGGGGCCACAGAGGCGAGCGTCTGGGCAGGAAATGAAGCTCGGGGATGCCCTACCATCCCTCCAGCTGCCCAGGCGCTCTCCCTCCCTTTCTCTCACACCCCATCTACCCCCAATCCCGTTGGCTCCACCTTCCGATTCCTCCAGAATCTAGCCCTTGCCGCTGTCTCCCCTGCCCCCATCCTGGTCCCAGCCTCTGCCATCTCTCACTGGGCGGCCATGCTAACCCCTTAACTCATCTCTGCCTGCCACTCCTGTGCACACCCATGGTGGGTCCTCAACACAGGAGTGGGCCTTGTAAAGTGACACCAGCAGCTGCTACAGCTCCCAGCGTCAGCAACAGTAAAAACCAAAGTCTGGGAAGTTCCCTGAAGCCCCCACAACGACCGGACCCTCACCACTCACCCGTCTCCCTCCGTCTCCTACCCAGTGGCACACACAACCCTGCACTGGGGCTACGCATTTGCTCTCTGCACTGCCTGGAAGGCTCTTCCTCCCCTCCCCATTGCACCCTCGAACACCCCCCACCCGCCCACGCACACACACACAGGCCCACATGCTCACATGTTACAGAAGGCTCTGGCCTTCGCTCTGCGCCCACCCCATACCCACTCAGGCCCTTCTCGGGCCTTGCCCTTGTGCTCGTGAGCCTGGGGTCCGCCCTCCCTCTCAGTGACCCAGGCGCGGGCCCAGCCTCCCCAGAGCGTCCTGTGCACCCGGGAAGCGGCGACTGTGGGTGCGTGGGGAGCGGAGCGCCAGGATCCCTCCGCCTGAGGCCGCTGGGGGCCCTGGATGTCACCTGCCTCCAGGAGCCAGGTTCCTGGGAGTCGGGATCGTGTTACCCCATGAGGAAACTGAGGCACCAAGGGGCTCCAGATCACCCCTCCCGCCTACGGAGGAGGCAGGACGCCAGTGTGTGACGGAACAGGCCTCCGAGGAGACCGGCCACGCCCCGCAGGTCCTCTCTCCGCAGATCTGCGGTGCCCCTCGGAGGGCGGACGCACCACCAGGCACTCACCCCTTGCCCGAGCTGCCGCCTGAGTAGGTATCTCCGGACGATGCGAGGGTCCACTGCGCTGCACATGGCGGCCAGGACGCCCGCGGGACCTTACTGTGGAGTCGGTTGCCGTGGGAACCGACGCCGGCCCGGCCCCTCCCCTCGGGGCGCCCCTCCCAACACCCCCCCTCCCCCGCCCCGGCAGGCCCCGGCTCCGCCCCACAGTGGCCCCCCCACCTCCTCCCAGGCCCGGCCCCGCCCCACATTGGCCCCGCCCCTCCGTGCGCCCCGCCCCTCTGTGAACCCCGCCCCTCTGTGCGCCCCGCCCCTCTGTGCGCCCTGCCAGCCTCCTCGCAGACCCACGCCCAGCTCGGTTGACTAAAGTAGAAATCTTAACAATCTGTTGTGAATTCTATAACTTGTAGAAGTAAAATGCATGACACCAATAGCAAAAAGTGAAGAGGGATAATGGAAATACACATTTATACTGTTACAGAATAACATATGAGAATCTATATTGTAAGGTTCTTAAGTTACATGTGAAGTATTAATAGTATAATATTATTTGGGCAGGGCACGGTGGCTCACGCCTGTAATCCCAACACTTTGGGAGGCCGAGGCGGGCGGATCACCCGAGGTCAGGAGTTCAAGACCAGCCTGGCCAACGTGGTGAAACCCCATCTCCACTCAAAATACAAAAATTAGACAAGCGTAGTGGCACGCTTGTAATTCCACCTACTCGGGAGGCTAAGGCAGGATAATCGCTTGAATTCGGAAGGCGGAGGTTGCAGTGAGCCCAGATCGAGTCACTGCACTCCAGCCTGGGTGACACAAAGAGACTCAGTCACAAAAATAAATAAAATAAAATAAAAAATAAAGAGATATAGCTGATAAGCCCATTATCTAGATAGAACAGAATATTAAAAACTACTTATAGCCAGGCACAGTAGTTCACGCCTGTAATCTCAGCACCTTGGGAGGCCAAGGAGGGCAGATGGCTTGAACTCAGGAGTTGGAGACCAGCTTCGGCAACATAAAACCTCATTTCTATTAAAAAAATAATAATAATAGGAAAATTAGCTGGGTGTGGTGACATGAGCTTGTTGTCCCAGCTACTTGGGAGGCTGAGGTAGGAGGATCACTTGAGCCGGGAGGCAGAGGTTGCAGTGAGCCCGGATTGCGCCACTGCACTCCAGCCTGGATGACAGTGCCAGACCCTGTCTCAAACAACAACCACAACAAACTACTTGCTCAAAAAGAATTCAGAAAAAGAAGGAAAAGGAACAAAGAATAGATAAGACCAGCAGAAAACAAATAGCAGGACCGGGTGTGGTGGCTCATACCTATAATCCCAGCACTTTGGGAAGCCGAGGCGGGTGGATCATGAGATCAGGAGATCGAGACCATCCTGGCCAACATGGTGAAACCTCATCTCTATTAAAAATACAAAAAAATTAGCTGGGTGTGGTGGCGCATGCCTGTAGTCCCAGCTGTTTGGGAGGCTGAGGTAGGACAATCACTTGAACTTAGGAGGCGGAGGTTGCAGTGAGCCAAGATCGCCCTACTGAACTCCAGCCTGGCAACAGAACGAGACTCCTTCTCAAAAAAAAAAAGGCCGGGTGCAGTGACTCATGCTTGTAATCCCAGCACTTTGGGAGGTCAAGGCAGGTGGATCACAGGAGTTTGAGACTAGCCTGACCAATATGGTGAAACCTTGTTTCTACTAAAAATAGAAAAATTAGCTGGGCATGGTGGCGTGCGTCCGTAATCCCAGCTACTAGGGAGGCTGAGGCAGGAGAATTGCTTGAACCCAGGAGGCAGAGGTTGCAGTGAGCCGAGATTGCACCACTGCACTCCAGCCTGGGCGACAGAGTGAGACTCCGTCTCAAAGAAAAAAAAAAAAAAGATGGCTGACTTAAAACTTACCATTTTATTTTTATTATTATTATTTTTAACTAAAAAGTAAACTTTAATGTCGAAAATTCAAACTTTGGGAAGACAGAAAAGATCACACACAAGGCTGTCACTTCACACTTGGAAGGTTGCACAGCGGCCGGACAGAGGCGCTCCTCACTTCCCAGTCGGTTGGTGGCCGGGCAGAGGCGCTCCTCACTTCCCGGACGGGGCGGTGGCCAGGCAGAGGCGCTCCTCACTTCCTGGACGGGGCGGTGGCCAGGCAGAGGGGCTCCTCACTTCCCAGATGGTTGGCAGCTGGGCAGAGGCACTCTTTTTTTTTGTTGTTGTTGTTGAGACAGAGTCTCACTTGGTCGCCCAGACTGGAGTGCAGTGGCCGGATCTCAGCTCACTGCAAGCTCCGCCTCCCGGGTTCACGCCATTCTCCTGCCTCAGCCTCCCAAGTAGCTGGGACTACAGGTGCCCGCCACCTCGCCCAGCTAGGTTTTTGCATTTTTTAGTAGAGACGAGGTGTCACCGTGTTAGCCAGGATGGTCTCGATCTCCTGACCTTGTGATCCGCCTGTCTTGGCCTCCCAAAGTGCTGGGATCACAGGCTTGAGCCACCGCGCCCAGCCTGGCACTCTTAATTATTACAACATATATAAATGGTCTAAATACTCCAATAAAAAGGCGGAGATTATATGACCTTATTTTTTAAAAATTTAAATACACAAATATGCCTTCATTATACAAAATTATTATGTTTGTAAAATTATAGGCCAGGCCCGGTGGCTCACACCTGTAATCTCAGCACTTTGGGAGGCCCAGGCAGGTGGATCACTTGAGGTCAGGAGTTTGAGACCAGCCATGCCAAATATGGCAAAACCCTGCCTCTACTGAAAATATAAAAACTAGCCAGGCACGGTGGCACATGCCTGTAATCTCAGCTACTTGGGAGGCTGAGGCAGGAGAATCACTTGAACCCGGGAGGTGGACGTTGCACTGAGCCAAGATGGCACCACTGCACTCCAACCTGGGCAACAAGAGCAAAACTCCATCTCAAAAAAAAATTATAAACATAATACATATAATAGTTACATGTTATGCAGTTATACAAGATATGCCCCTTATTATTATCATTATCATTTTTTGAGACAGGGTCTCGCTCTGTCATCCAGGCTAGGGTGCAGTGGTGTGATCTCAGCTCATTGCAACCTCTGCCTCCTGGGCTGAAACGATCCTCCCACTTCAGCCTTTTGAGTAGCTGGTGCCACAAGCTCAGGCCACCGTGCTCAGCTAATTTTTAATTTTTTGTAGAGTCCAGGCATGGTGGCTCATGCCTATAATCCCAGCACTTTGAGAGGCTGAGGTGAGTGGATCACTTGAGGTCATGAGTTTGAGACCAGCCTGGCCAACATGGCAAAAACCCGTCTCTACCAAAAATACAAAAATTAGCCAGGTGTGGTGGTGCGCACCTGTAATTCCAGCTACTTGAGAGGCTGAGGCACGAGAAATTGCTTGAACCCAGGAGGTGGAGGTTGCAGTGAACTGAGATTGTGCCCCTGCACTCAAGCCTGGGTGATGGAGTGAGACTCTGTCTCAAAAAATAAACAAAAAATGTTTTTGTAGGACAGAATCTTCTATATTGCCCAGGCATAAATATACTTCAACTATAAAGGCATAGTAAAAAGGACGGAAAAGGATATACCATGTAAACACTAATCATAAGAAAACTTTAGTAGTTATATTAATATCTGGCAAAATATATGCCAGGGCATGGGATATTACCAGAGATAAAGAAGAATAATTTGTTAGGATAAAAGTTTCCATTTATCAAGAATACTATAATTCTGAACGTATATACACCTAATATATATAAAGCAAGCCTGCCATCACTGAAAGGAGAAACCATCAAACCCACAATTACAGGCGGAGACTTTAACACTCCTCTGTCAGTAATTGCTGGAACAGGTAAGCAGAAAATAAAGATGCAGTAGACTTGAGCAACATTATCATCCAGGGCAACCACTGGACATTCGGAAGACAAGGCCTCCATAATGTGGTGGAATACACCTTATTTTCAAGTGTGTATGAAACATTTAGCAAGATAAACCACATTCAAAGTACCATAAAACAAAGTTTAACAAATGTAAAATAATTGAAATCTGGGCCGGGTATGATGGCTCACACCTGTAATCCCAGCACTTTGGGAGGCCAAGGCAGGCAGATCATGAGATCAAGAGTTCGAGACCAGCCTGGTCAACATGGTAAAACCTCATCTCTTCTAAGAATACAAGAATTAGCTGGGCATGGTGGTGTGTGCCTGTAATCCCAGCTATTGGGGATGCTGAGGCAGGAGAATCGCTGGAATCCTGGAGGCAGAGGTTGCATTGAGCCGAGATCACACCACTGCACTCCAGCCTGGGTGACACAGCAAGACTCCGTCTTGAAAAAAAAAAAAAAAAAAAAAAGGGAATTGAAATCATGTAAATTATGTTCTCTGATCCCACAAAATTGGATTAGAAATAAATAACAGAAAGATATTTGGAATATCCCCAAAGATTTCAAGATTAAACAACACACTTCCAAATAAACAATAAGTCAAAGAAATCATAAGGTAAACTAGAAACAATTTTGTACTGAAAGATAATGAAATTCTAATGTATGAGAATATGGAGGATGTCCCCAAAGCAAGGCTTGGAAGGCAACTGACAGTTCTGAATTCAGGAATTGCCAGTGGGTAGCAGAAGCCTTGGCAGAACTGATGGAGAAGAGCTGGTTCTTCGGAGACTGCAGAGCAGCTCAGGTTGGCTGGGATGCGGCTGCCAGGGGCAGCGAGGAAGCCCAGCCACCCCCAGTGCCAACAGAGGTGAGGACCGGCAGGCTAGCACCCCCATTCTTCACCTTCCCTGGGGAACCCCAAGGAGAGGAAGTCCTGACCCTGTCATTCTGCCTCTGAGAATGGCCCCATAGGCAGAATTACACCAACACCAGTGAACTGTCAGCAAAAAAGAATTCTTTAGAGTGAACGTTACTACCCTGAATTATTAAATCAGTTTTCCACCCAGCAAAATTAAACCATTTCCAACTTTTTCTGTTTCCCTTTTTCATTTTACTGCAGTTATTTTCACTGGGGTTTATTATTTCCCATATACACTTTCCAGGAGACATTTGATTTATCCATTAGTTGGGTGGGTTTTGTTGTTGTTTTTGAGATGGAGTCTCACTCTGTTGCCCAGGCTGGAGTGCAGTGGGGTGATCTCAGCTCACCACAGCCTC